TCGCCTGGAACCCCAACCCCACCGTCTGCCTGGTGGCCATCTCTGTGTGAGTGTCCCAGCGCGGCTTTCCCCATCCTCCAGCCAGGAGCTCCACGACCTGGCATGGTTGCTGGATCTCCTCTCCCAAAGCCTCTCCAGCCTCCAAAGAGCACCTGTAAACTCGTGGCACCCCCAGCAGCGAGGGTGGCCACACTGTGGTGTGCGAAGCCACCTCTGCTCACTGTGACCCTGCCTCCTGCTTCATCTGGTGGCCCTCCCTCTTCTTGTGGTGACCCTCATTCTTCATTCCTCCTTTTGTGGAGGAACCAGTCAGTGCCCACCATCCTCCCTGGGTCACTCAGGCTATGACAGAGCTCCCCCGTATCCTCCCTCTTTTTGGTGGCCTACAGAAGGGCCCGGCTGCTCGCGGCGTCCCACACGTCCCTCCCTGTGGCCCTGGCCCTGTGCAGGGCCATCCCGTGGCAGCACAGGGTGTGCAGAAGCGTTTCCTCTGCTCAGTGGTGCCCTGACCTATGCGCTCATCCCACACTGTAGGGAGCAGTCGGTGCTGCTGCTGCACCCCTGCCTCGGGGACAAGCTGCTCTACGGGGCCACCGACCAGCTGCTGGAGTCCTACGTGGCGCCAGAGGAGGAGCGGGTCCAGCCCGTGCAGTGGGTGACAGCCACCATGGAGGAGCACAGCAAAGGCATCCGACTGGTGGTCCAGCACAGCAAGGTGGGGACGGGGACGCCCCGCGGGAGTGGGGTGGTGGGAGACATGCTGGGGAGGCTGGTGGCTCTGATGCGTGGCTGTCCCCCTCCCCTCTCGCTGCAGGCTGTGAAGCAGGTGACCTGGCACGGCAAAGGTGACTACTTTGCCAGCGCCGTGTCTGTCTGACAACAGCAACATGCAAGTGCTGATTCACCAGACCAGCAAGCGCTGGAGCCAGAACCCCTTCCGCAAGAGCAAGGGGCTGGTGCAGTGCGTCCTCTTCCACCCCATCCGCCCCTACTTCTTCGTGGCCACCCAGCGCTACGTCCGCATCTACAACCTCCTCAAGCAGGAGCTCACAAAGAAGCTGATGACCAACTGCAAGTGGGTGTCCAGCATGGCCATCCACCCTGGAGGTACGTGGCCTGCGGTGCTCCCCAAGGAGCTGCCAGGACTTGTGAGCCGGTACGGAGCATCCCGCTCAGCTGGGCTGCCTGGGGTGCAGGCAGGGCTCTGGGTGCTGGCAGGACACCCTGGGATTCGCTGGTGACCCGAGTAATACCTTGTTCCCTCTCGCAGGAGACAACATCATCTGCGGTAGCTACGACAGCAAGCTGGCCTGGTTCGACCTGGACCTCTCCACCAGACCCTACCAGCTGCTGCGGTGAGCCCCAGTGCCACGGCCACCCAGTGCTTGCCCCCCGTTAACCTGCCCACAGCCCCCCCAGACCCCACGGGTCCTCTTCCCAGGGCTGTTCCCTCTCCTGGGACGTGGCAGAAGGATGGAGCCCAGTGGGGCTGTGCCAGGAGCAGCCATCCCTGCCCAGTGTGTGGGTGTCTCACAGCTCTTATGTGCCAAGGGGACAGTCACCACAGCTCTCCCGGGGCTCAGGGTTGGGGCAAAGCCTTGCGCTGGGCTGGTTTGAGCTGCTCACAGCAGGTCCCAGTCTGTCCCAGTCGCCAGCTCCCCTCCCATACACATGGCCGTTCGCAGCAGAGCTTGGGATCCGTAAAGCCTGGCCGTGCACAGACCCAGGCACTTTGTCCCCAAGGGTTGGGACAGGGGCAGAGCGTGTCCCTCCTCGCCCTGACATGGCTCCCGTCCTCTGTGCAGGCACCACAAGAAAGCGCTGCGGAGCGTGGCCTTCCACAAGCACTACCCGCTCTTCGCCTCGGGCTCGGACGACGGGACCGTCATCGTTTGCCATGGCATGGTCTACAAGTACGTGGTGGGGAGCCACGGGGGGTTGGTGTCGGGTCCTCTCTCTGGCATTCTGTGGTGCGGCAGAGCCCTGGAGGGGCTGCTGGGCTGGGGGGGTGCAGAGCTGCCTGTGCCTTGGGGGGTCCAGCGCTTGTGGGGTGACTCTGGAAGTACCGCAGGGAGGGAGCCGAAGCCCTGCACTGACCTGTCTCCTCCACCACAGCGACCTGCTGCAGAACCCGCTGCTGGTGCCCGTGAAGGTGCTGAAGGGCCACGTGATGACATTGGACCTGGGTGTCCTCGATGTGCTCTTCCACCCCACCCAGCCCTGGGTCTTCTCCTCCGGCGCCGACGGCACCGTCCGGCTCTACACGTAGCTGCTGCCCAGCGCCAGCGCACCCCCCTTCCCCTCAACCCAACACCCGCACCCCGCGGGCGAGGGACAACGCCGGGACCACCGCGCTCTGCAGGGAACGTTTCTTCTGCTCCTGCACACAGACTCCTGGCGCCTTGCTCATTAAACTCTTTTGGATACGATCCTGTGCTGCTTTCTCCTGCATTGCCGGCTCAGCCTGGGCTGGACCAGGGCCGTGGGGACGCATGGATCCCCCTGCCAAAACCCGCTCGGTGCTGCTGCCTCCCCCGGCCCAGCGTGGTTTCCTCCAGCCGGCACGGCTGCCCTTCCCCGCAGCTCTTGCCGTGTTCGCCATCACTGCCTGGCCATGGAGCTCACTGCGGCCCTGGCTGGGAGAGCTGCTCCCACACAGTGAAGCTGAGCAGGCCTCTCCCTGCCCCGGCTGACCCCCGTCCCTGTGGGGTGCCACCCCACCTGGGTGGCTGCGTGCTGGTGTCACCATCCCTCCCTGCCCGGAGTGCCCCAGGTGGAGGGAAGGAAGGCTTCAGGCTGCCCCCACCATGGGCCAGCCCCACGGGCATGGTGGCACCAGGACTGGCATGGGACATGTTCCTGCCAGCGGGAACCCCGACATCCTCTGCCCCACAGCTGGTCCCATGTGCACCCCATGCGAGGACATGGTGAGCAGGCACCCACAGCCA